CAGGGCTCTTTATTTTGTTCTGTTGGTCTACTTGTTCATTTCACATCAATATATTGCCTTAATGACCAAAGTATACCTTATCACATTAACAAATTCAAGAAGAAAAATATATCAATGTGGCAAAAAGGCATCTGACAATACTTAGCAGGCATTTTTAATAAAGTTCAATAGGGACTGAAAGAAACAAGTGAACCACACAATGTCTGTTTACCTCAAACATAGAGCAAACATTATATTAAGTGATTTCCACTAAGCTGGGAAAAACAATTAGATGCCTGCTATCACCATGAATCCTAAATCTGGTTCTGGAAATTGTTTCTATTGCAATAATAATAAAACAATCATGGTAAGTACTCAGGAAAAAAATCACATCTGTTTGCAGCTGACATAATTGCCTAAAAAATCAAGTCCAGTAAAAAAATAAATTTAAAAGGTTATTGGGTAATAATGAAAGGTATAACTTCATCCATAAAGTTTTAATATAACAATATCACAATAAATACAGAAATAAGCCACAATCTGGGAGAAGCTAAGTCCATCATTCTACTAGGTAAAGGATTACTATCTAGAATGTTATGTTTAAGAATCCCACAATTTTTATATGAATGTTTTTTAAAAAAGGAATATTGGCAAGCTACAGTACTTAGCAATAAATGGATGTGAAAAGATGCTCAACTCACTATTTACCAGGAAGATATTAAAACACATACCAGAAGTGGGGATAAAAGGAAGTAACATTTCACTGGTTGAAGGAGTTGTAAACTGGTGACATAATGTTCTCTTCCACAGCAGCATGTACTGAGGTTGAAAGTGAACAGGATCCATGACTTACCAGTCAGATCTTTTGATAAATACCTCAGAGAAACCCTGCTTATGTACAGCAAAAAACTCAAATATTCACTAAGAAATTTTTCAGTGAGAAATTATATCTAACCTAAATATTGACCAATAAAAGACCTAAATACATATGATGTATCCATACAAAGAATAGGGCCAGGGAGGTTCTATTCTGTTGAAGAGCATCATGTTAAATCCAAAAAAAGCAAACAGCTGATGAGTCACTTTCCTCACCATACAGATAACCATACACCTACCATAATGCTGACATCGCCATCCTCGAAGCCACTTCTTTTTGGTTACAGCAACATCTTCTAAAGTGGAATTACATCTGCAATAGGAAATGGCAATGGGGGCTCTATAGTGGAGTATGAGATACACTGGGTTAGATAAAATGAAACTTTTTTGATAGTCTTTTGATAGGCACTAGTGTGAATTTTCCCCCCCAAGAAATATAGAATACAGAGCTCTCTCATGCTTGTTTGACCACAAAGTTATTTTCTTCAAGAACCATTAAGTACTGATGTTTTGAGGAACATACTTTAAGAAATTTTGAGCTAATGCACTGTCCTCAGAAGACTTCTGTTAACAAGAAAATGTCACCAGGGAGGAAAAACACATTGACCTACTAGCAAAAACTAATTTTATCATAGCACTTAAAATACTTGTTGTAGGTATTACAATTTTGTGTAAACACTGTGTACTACTCACAAATTAAAAGCAATTTGACATCATGAGTGGGAAAGATGTACTGTTCTAGATGGTGGATGATTATTCAAAGACTTCTGCCCAATCTGCCCACTCTGAGCAAAATGGACTTTAGAGGCACAAGTCAATGTATGACAGTAACACTAGTCTGGTTGAAAACAAAGTGTTGTGGAAATACTAATTTTTCTTCTGTGGAAGGTAGTAATTTTTAAATATTAAATACCTATTTTTCACTTATTTGTTCATTCTTTTTATAAAATTGATGAGGTTAAAATAAGTGAGAATTAAGAAATAACCTAAAAGACACTGGGGCTAGATCATGTCATTTTCCCCAACATTGTTACATTGCTTAAGTTAGAAACCTAAAATCTTGGTACCTAATAATCACAACAGGTCAGGCCCCTGGATATTCCTGCTAAATCATTTTATGTTTTATAATTGTTTTATTAGACTATTGAGTTCAATGTACTGAATTTCATTTGGAATGTTTGCACGTATCTTTAATGATACTGGTCTAGATTTTGCTTTTTAGGAATGCCTCATCTAATTTTATTATTGGGATATTTGCCTTATAGAATAATCTGGTAAAATTTTGTTAGAAGTTATATGTTCTTTAAAATTTTATTGGTGTAAAACTATTTTCTAATTTCTAAAAAACAAGAGCATAACTACATACATTTTCCCTTTGTAGATCTCATAGATTATAAATCTAAAATCTGTAAATTATAAATTAAAATATAAAATAAATAAAACATAATATCTATGATTGGTCAGATCTATAGTATCTTAGACAACTTTGATCATTTAGGTTTCTCTAGATAACTCATCCTCTATATTTTTACTCATATTGAAATGCATATATAGTAATACATCTATAAATTAAAAAACTTTTAAATCTCCTTGATATATGTAGCTATTTTACCATTCCCATACATAATACTATAACTGAATCACCTTTTTTCCCTCAATAATAACTACCAATTCTATATTAATGTTCTTTTCAAAGAGAACATTCTTGGATAAAATCTACTGTTTTATTAACTATTCAATTTTTACTTTTTTATTTTGGGGGGAAGTAATTAGGTAATTTTACTTTTTAAAATTGTATTTTTACTTTTATTGCATGAGTTACTTCCTGCTACTTATCTTAATGAAAAAAAATTTTCTGAGTTTTTTTTTCAACACACTTTTTATCAATTGTCTGTTGTGTGGCAGGCACTGTAGATGTGGGGACAGAGTGGTGAACCTTCTCAATCCAGGTTTTCTAAATGCATTAATATTAATTTTCTACTAAGTAGAGCTTTGGTGACTTCCCACAAATTCTTATTGTAGGCATCACATTATCATTTATCACTAAGAGGTCTAAAATTTCAGATTTTCTACTTTAAAAAACCTGTATTATGGAAGTTTTCAAATATATGCAAAGGTAGTAAGAATAGTACAATGAACCCTATGTACCCATTATCTAGCTTCACCACTTTAGCAATATTTTGCCAATCTTGTTTCATCTACCCTTCTCACTTTTTGTTTTTCTTCAGTATTATAAAGCAAATTTAAAAAGTACACATGACAATTTCATCCTTGAACATTACAGTACAGATCTCCAATGCGTAAGGATTTATACACACATACAAACCCCACAACCATGTCATCATGTCTAACGAATGAATAATAATTATTTAATATAATTTAATACCCATTCTAAGTTTACCTTTTTACAATAATGGAAAAAAATTTTTCATTTATTTGTCCAAATCAGGATTGTACTAACTATATTTTCTTATTTTCTGTATTTTTGATGCTCAGACATTTGGGGACTTGATCTTGGAGCGACTACTCCTCCTAGGGATAGCAAATTCCTTGGCAAATGACTCCCCTGTGACCATGCATTTTGATATACAAACCAATCAATCCAAAGTCCACACCCCAAAATATCTCCTTTAACAAACTCTCACATACCAAGCCAATATTCCTCCTAGCCTAAATCACCCCAGGGCCAAGTACTGGACAACTAAAGACCACTCCTGTATCAGAGCTCAGCAAAACTGTTCAAACTAACCAGTCCTAAACTTGCTCGGGGGACCTACCTGGCACCACGTGCCTATTCCCTGCTGGGAAAACTTCAGTAAAGGTTCTGAGTCACACCCTCTCCCACCTGTGCCTCCTAACAGGACCGGGTGCTTCCTCCACGTGGACCTGTGTGCATGCAGTGCCTCCTGTTTCTTCTAGAAATCTTCCAGTATAAGCTTCTTCCTTCATGACAGTCATTTCCACATCTGTGTGTCTTACCGCACCTGATTAAGACAAATCCTGGGTACATTTTAACAAAAGGATGTCAACACATTCCACACACTATTTAATTCATATGTCTCTTAAGTCTCTATAAATTCTATTTCTAATGTCTTGATATATATTGGTTAAGAAACAAGGCTTTTTAGTCTGTGAAATTTCCCACACTCTGGATTTGGTTGTTTGCTTCTTTGGGTCATTACTTTGTTCATTTATTCCCTAAGTTTCCTGTAAACTGGTAGATTTAGAGACTAAATTACACTTCTGGATCAGTATTTTGGGCAAGAATACTCCACAGGTGTACACATCCATTGCATTATGTCAAGATAAGCACACAGCCTCACTGATTTAATTTAGAGATGTTAATATAGATTAGTGGGTTGTCATTCTGCTCTATCCATCAAAAGCTTCCTATAATCTTTCACCTAATGGATGGTCTTCACATTCATCGCTATCACCAAGATCTATTATTTCATAAATAAAAAGTGTGTTTTTTTGATTCCTTTCATCTTTATTAGCCAGAATTCTCTAATAAAGAACTTTCTTTCACCAGCTTTTGGTTGTCTTGAAACATAGTTTCATACAGGAAAAGTAAGATAAAAGCTCCATTTTCTGCATTTCCTTATTAATAAATGCCCTAATATGCTCTGTAGCTGACCAATACATTTGGTCAGAAAAAAGAAGAAGCTATCAAAGACTATAGTAATCATGACAAAAGGACACAGGATCCAAATTGAGGGGATTCCCACTCATCAAAGACAGGACAATGTAAGCATTTAAAAAAAAGGCGACAATGGATTTTAAAAAATCACTCCAGGTTTTATAATATAGGTGGATTTGTAATTTCCAAATAGTTTTTTTATCTTATCCTTTGTTAACTTTAAATTAAGTTTATACTGAGGTTAGAGAGTATAGATTGTAGAGTATCTTCTTTATGAACTGAAAAAGAACATCTTTAACTATTTTAACAAGAATAAATTACCTGACGTTCAATAAGGGATGAGTGTTGGTGGAAGGCATTTCTATGTTCATTATGCCCTTAGTCTTTCATATGAGTTTTCAAGAGAGTAATATTCATGATGATAATAATAAACCAAAATTTAATGGCTTAAAACAACAACCATTTTATTGTATCTCATGATTTTGCAGGTCAGGAATTTGGGCAGGGGCTCAGTTGGTCCATTCTTCTCCTCTGTATGGCATCAACTGAGGTCAGTCAGTGCATTCAGCTGATGCCTGGTCTGGAGGATCCACAATTATTTCACTCAAATGTCTGGTGTCTCGGTGGGCATGTCTGGAAGACTGGGCATAGCAGAGTGCCTCTCCCTCTGCCTCTCTATGTAGTTGCAGGGCCTTTCCATGTGGTCTCTTCAGCAGAGTAGCCTGACCAGGTCAGGACCTGATGTTGACAGAGTATTCCAAGAAATGAGGCAAAATCTGCCAGTCCAGAAATTAGCACAGCAGTACTTCCACTACTCTACTGGTCAAAGCAGTCACAGTCTGCCCAGATTCAAGGGGGAAAGGATATGGATTCCACCTCTCGATGGGAGGCGTGTCAAAGAATTTGCGGCAATCTTTGCTCTGCCACCATGTTATATTGTTTTATAAATGAAGAAATTATAACCAGAGCAGTTAAGCACCTTGTTCAATATAATACAGGTATGAAAGTGATGGGATAGAGATGATAAGTGTCTTTCCCACATCTGTTATATTAATAGGGTTAGTTTTTAGAATGAATGTGAAGATTTTCAGGTTTGAGTGAGGGTGGGATATATTAAATTAACATATCCTTTTAACACTACAAACTCCCTTATACCCAGTGAGGTGCATGTATGAAGCACAAGGGACTAATTACTACATTCACAGATTGTTGTACAGCACAAGACTGAAAAGGCTTTCTTATATTTTTACATTATGAATTTTCAGATGATGAGTAAGATGTGAATGTTGTCTAAAGGCCTTCTTACATTCCTTACATTCATAGGGTTTCTCACCGGAATGAATTCTCAGATGTTGAATAAGAGATGAATTAAGTCTAAAGGCCTTCCTACATTCCTTACATTCAAAGGGTTTTTCACCAGTATGAATGCTCTGATGTAGAGTAAGTTTTTGGCGCAGTCTAAAGGCCTTTCCGCATTCCTTACATTTATACGGCTTCTCACCAATGTGAATACTCTGATGTTGTGTAAGTTGTGAGAGCAGTCTAAAGGCCTTCCCACATTCCTTACAGTCATAGGGTTTAACACCAATATGAATACTCTGATGTGAAATAAGTTGTGAGTAACGACTAAAGGCCTTCCAGCATTCTTTACATTCATAAGGTTTCTCACCAGTGTGAATTCTGTGATGAAGAATAAGATGATAACCACGACTAAAAGTCTTTCCACATTCCTTACATTCATAGGGTTTCTCACCAGTATGAATTCTCTGGTGGAGGGTCAGCTGTTGCCGCACTCTAAAGGCCTTGCCACATTCTTTACATTCATAGGGTTTCTCGCCAGTGTGAAGTTTGTGATGTACTCTAAGGCCAGAGCCACACAGAAAGGCCTTTCCACATTCTTTACATTCATAGAGTTTGTCAGCAATATTAAGCTTCTGATGTCGAGTAAGGTGTGCATACTGTCTAAAGGCCTTCCCACATTCTGTACATACGTAGGGCTTCTCACCAGTATGAATCCTCTGATGGAGAGTAAGTTGTCCACGAACTCTGAACGCCTTCCCACATTCTTTACATTCATAGGGTTTCTCACCAATATGAATTTTCTGATGTACTCTAAGGTCTGGGCCACATAAGAAAGATTCTCCACATTCCTTGCACTCATAGAGTTTTTCACCAGAATGAAGTCTCTGATGTCGAGTAAGATGTGCAGTCTGTCTAAAGGCCATCCCACATTCCTTACATTCATAGGGCTTTTCACCAGTATGAATTCTGTGATGAAAAGTAAGTTGTTGGCGTACTCTAAAGGCCTTTCCACATTCCTTACATTCATAGGGTTTCTCGACAAAATGAATTCTCTGACGTGAAGTAAGAGATGTGCGTTTTTGGTAAGAGGACACTTTTTGAGATACAATTTTCACTTGACCGAAATAATCCTCTTGTCCTTCAAATTTTCTTTTGGACTCCCAATCATTTTTTAAACTAAGGCTCTTAAGGCCACAGTTTTTAATTCTTTCCATTATCTTCCACTGGGTTAAGTTCATTTCATAAACATCATTTTCTGAAGATAACTTCTTAGTCTCATACCTGGTTTCCAAATCTGACAGAAAACAAGAGAGCGAACATGCAGTTTTCTTTTTTTAAAAGAAGTAAAATGTCCACAGTAGAAATAAAAGACAAAGTAATAACCAATAAAATTCTAAAAATAGTTATACAGTTTGGAAAAAAAAATCAAAAGGGAACACCAGGAAAACAAGTTCGTGTAAGAAAGTGAGAGGGTGACTAAACATTTTAAGTCAGTGGTTCTCAAGTTGAAATGTGAATCAGAATCACCAGGGCGCTTGTTACAAATACTGTGATTTAGACACCATCTAAACCACTTGAATCAGATTCCACAGTCCCAGGCAGTTCTTTATTTAATATTCTCCACATAAAGATTCTGATGGAGAAGAAAGATTGAGAATTCATACTTAAATTTTTTCAGCAATTTCTCTTATTCTTAGAATAAAATCAAACTCCTTGTTGTTAAAAGGCCTCTGCTTGCCTATGCCAACTAAAAACTGGCACTTGCCCTCTGCCTCTACAAAGATTGAATCACGTTGGCACTTGCCATCTACCTCTGCTTGGGTTAAATCATGAGCCGCTGCAGCCCCTGACCTCCAACACTCCCTGAAAGGAGCTCAGGGTGGAGATGAGGAATGAGGAACTCTGTGTCTGGGAAAACTAGCAGAACAGGACTTTATAGTTAGATATTTTCAGGAGATTTTATAAGCCCAAATTCTTGAGTTTCTTCATATTTAGAAAAGCACTGAATTCTTTAACAGTGACACCTGCTACTCGTGACTAGCAGCAAACAAGCCTTTGCCTAAAATGTGTGCTTGACTGCACGTACCCCTCTTCACTAAAATCATATATATAATGCTGAGCTTCCCCCTGCCTCTTTGGAGCAGTTCCTCAGAGCCATCTGAGATGCTGTCTCCAAGGCTATAGTCCTCATTTTGCCCCAAATAAAACTTGACCCACAACTTTCACGTTATATGATTTTAGTTCAGTCGACAACTATAACACATCATCTCAAATCACTGCCCTCTCCACAGCTGCCTGGAGAGGCCTCTTAGCAGATCTTAGAACATGTTCCAACTTAATTCCATTTCTTAGGACTTTTCAGTCTGCTCTATTTCCCACAAATCTTCTATTTGGACTCTGCATGGTTGGCTCCTTCTCACTCTGAGGTCTTAGATTAAAAGTCACTTCCTCTAAGGGCTGCTGACTCTACTGACAGTACCTAAAGCTATGTCCTTATTATACAGCTAACCCTTGAACAACACAGGTTTGAACTGCACAGGTCCACTGATGCCTGGATTTTTTTCAATACACATACAAAAGTATATGTGTAGAACATCGTGTGCAAGAGTTGTACTAAAGTGGACAGCCTATCCTTACACAGGCATAGGTGAGAGATACTTACAATCAAATTAATGTGTTGCTTTTCTTACTATTATATAACTTTGCTTTCAAAGAATTACATTACCGTACAATATACTTCTCTCTTATAATTGGAAAAACTGCATATCAGCCTATTGTCACAGGTAATTGGTTTTTTAAAAATGTAACAATGTTTCTAATACTGTATTATGAATATCACTGTAATATTGTATGCCATAAAAATTTTATGCCAATACATTCATTAGTGTATAAACTATGCTACCATGAAGCAATCATATCAATTACACTAGGCTACCATAAAGCAATCATATTGCTCTTCTCCATTTTCAATGTATAAATTATTATACCTGTAAATAAATAATGATTTTTTCACATTATCTTTTCATTTTTAATGCCCAGTGTCAGTAATATGTATATAACATCTACAGTGTTTTGTATCATATAAGACAATATTGATGTAGGTACTAACAGACAATCTTATATAAACAAATGACATAAACTTATGGTATCAATAAATGCAGTACAGTACTGTAAATATATTTCTCTTCCTTATCATTTTCTTAATAACATTTTCTTTTCTCTAGCTACCTTCATTATAAGAATACAGCATATAACATATATAACATACAAAATATGTGTTAATCAACTATTTGTGTTACTGGCAAGGCTTCCTGCCAACAATAGGCTATTAGTTATGTTCTGGTGGAGTCAAAAGTTATAGTGGATTTTTGGCCTGCACTGGGGGTGGCACCCAAGACCTTGTGTTATTCAGGTGTAAACCACATGTCTGTGTTGTTATTATGCATATATTACATATCAACAGATCTATGTTGAAATTATCTATTTATTAATTTTTCCAATTGTTATTCTGCTTATTTTCTTACCCCTAAATCTCGTCAATGGCAGAAACAATCCCTGCTTCACTCCATTAAATAATAAATCCAAAGCACATAATAGGTTTCACTCATTTAATTCCCATAGTTATATACCTACTCTGAATATATTTCTCTGCCTCTAACCTCTCACAGTACAATGACTAAGCAAGCATTTTCTCATTCATCCAAGCTGGCCCAGCAGAACATATAAAAGAAAAATGGTGGTTGTATATTCCTGTACACCCTTCCATTGCTTATACCCCGTCTATGCAGTATTCTCTACAGTGCCCATTCTACAGCTATGGCTTATTCCTTCTTTGTCTCCACATCACAACAAAGTAACTGAGAAACTCTACTTACTTACACTGCCCTTAAGCTTATTCTATTACTCATCCATTTTACAAATGCTCAACGGATTTTGTTCCTTCATTCCCTTGCTCGAGTCTTCTCCCTTCCATCTCCTCAGAGGCAAGGGCATTTCTATATTTCCTAGCAATGTGTACCAAGGACCTCTCAGGGAAACATGTTTATGCCTTAATTAAAGTTTATGAGATCCTTAGCAAAAAAAAAAAAAAAAGATGTAATATGTAAGTAACTCACTAATAGAGTCAAAGGGTTTTACAGTAACTTGAATGTGAAGAACTTGCTAACAAAAATCATGATGGAAGTAAACCAAAGGATGGTAACCAGTGGAAGAAATGGCCAGAGGGGAGTTTAAGTGCTGTATGAGATGTGTATGAGAGAGAAAAATGAGAAGTTTTTAATTATTACAATACAGTCTATATAAGAAAGTTGAAATCATAGTTTCTACTAAAAGTGAAAATTAATAACAACAACAAAAAAGTAAATCCACTTAGAATTTTATAAGTCTATATTAAATAACTCTTAGATTGACAGGAAAATAAGATCCAAAATAGTATTTTTTCAAAGAAAACTACAGTAATAATAAAAAAAAAAACTACAGTAAATTATTATCTGTAAAACTGTAACCACAGTGCTTGAAAGAAAATAAAAAACTTAAATATATCAACAGTATAAATGAAAGAAAAAATTAACTAAAAATCCAACTCAAAAAATTAGAAAAACAAACTGAAGCAAAGCAGAAAGAAATTAACTACATAGAAGCAGAAGTAGATTAGTTAGAAAACAAAAAAAAAGAAAACACAAAGTAAAACAAAATTCTTTTTAAAAAATCAATCAGCAAAATAGATAAACCATTAGTTAATATAGTAAACAGCAAGAAGGCATAGACATAGAAATAAAGAAATGGCAAAGTGAAAATAATCATGAATAAATACAGAGGATAGTTGAAAAAAAGATTACTTTGCCAGTAAGTTTTAAAACATAGCTAAAATGAATAATTTTCTAAGAAAATATAATTTACCAAAACTGATCATAGAAGAGATATAATGTTTCAAAAGATTAGAATGTAGTCAGACTTACTATCTCCTTCTCCCAGGAAAAAAAGCTTTCAAAAGGTTATTAAAGCTTTAAAGAATAAGCCATTCAAATTATATTTACTCTGAGAACTAAGAACTATTTCATGACATAATAATGTCATACTAAATAAAGATTGTTCATAAAAAGAAAACTACATACCAATTTTCTGAAAACTAATGTAAAAATTCTAAGCATCTAATGACACAGCATGCCAAAAGACCCAGTGCCGTATATTCAAAGAATGCTAAAGTGGTCCAGTATGGGGAAATCTATTAAGATAATTCAACATATTTAATAGAGCTGAGGAAAGAGGAAAAAAAAATCACATGACCATCTCCATAGATGCTGAAAAGGCAAGTAAAAAAAAGAAACATTCCTGATTAAAAAAAAAATAGCTCAGTAAAACAAGAGTAAGTATCTGCCTAAACTGATAAAATATACATAACCATAACAAAAAAGCAGCTTTGGAGTTATTAGTCAAGGCACTTAAATATCAAAAAAAAAAAAGAGAGAGAGAGAAGTAGAATTTAAAAGAAGGAGGTAAAACTGTATTTCCAGAGGATCTGAATGAATCATTGGAAAACTTACAAAATTTAAATACTATAAATGATAACAGAATTTAATAAGGTAGTAGGTATAAAATACAAAAACCAATAGCCTTTATATATACATTTAACAATACAATATGATGGAGAAAAAAAGATTCCAGTCATGCTAGTAACAAGAATAAACTTAAAATATATACACAACCTTAACAAAGAAAATGCTGAAACACTCATGAAGCATTTGGTGTTAGATTTTTCTAAAGAAATCACACACCAAATCACAGAGGGAGATTACTCTGCACAAGGTGACAGTGGCCTACCAAGGGTGTTCATGCTGAGGAACTGAGCAGGTATGGAGACAATGGCAAACAACAAATAGCTGTGTTCAAAGTAGCCAGGTATATGGAATTCTGCAGACTATCACCCTTGGCCAGACAGCAACTACTTTTGTCTGCCTCCAGAGTAGACAACACATAAGTGGGCCAGGGCATGAGGCAGGGCAGTGGCTGGTCATGTCCTGGGGATATGGCCACCTCCATAGGCCCAGTTGACAAAAGCACTCCTATCTCACATGGGTTAACTGTGTCTGTTCCAAACAAGTTTAGGACAGTGCCACTTTTTTCCTGAAAGTATCTAACTTAATTAAATAATACGTAAACTCATGAGAAGTATTCTCTACTCATTCCAAGTTTGGTTCTTGTTCTACTTTAAAAATTTTTTAACTAGAAATAACAGACTATGAATTATGTGTGTGCTTTAGATGAAAAAGTAAATACGAGACACAATGGAAGGAAAGGCTTGAACACATATCAAAAGTATTGACAAAGACCTGTATTTTAATGCTGAGAGTTAAAATACACTTTTATGGTATGTACATAAAATATTTAACCCATTTTTTAAAATTTATTTTTATTTTTGGGGGGTAATTAGGTTTACATATGTTTTTTTTTTTGGAGGAGGTACTGGGGATTGAACCCAGGGCCTTGTGCATGCCGAGCATGCGCTCTACTGCTAGAGCTATCCCTTCCCCACTAACCCATTTTTATGAATAAACAAACCAAACACCATTCCTAATTCTGTTGGACCAAAGGATTTCTATTCTATTAAGCAATGCTGATGAGAATACAGAAAAATATAAACCTTTGCTTTGATCAGCTAAAAATATGTAAATATAAAAAATCATAAATGTGATTCCCCCTTTGCAGAGAACCAGCTTTAATTAAGTGGGAAATGTCACATAAATTACCTGGACTCAATACTTAAGTCTGTTTAGGCATTTTATTATTAACCATCTTTCTTTGTTTATGCAAGAAAGACTAGGATATAGAAGATTTGGTTTCAAGGAAGTCCTATTTCCATTTCAACACTGGGGACAGAGGATAACGATCTGAAAATAATAAAACCTGACATCCAAGGAACTGTAATTCTGAAGTATCAATTTTCACCACATCCTGAATAAGCCCATAGTGAATGCCACCACTTAATAATCCTCACATTCTATTCATGATTATCTTTCTGATTTCACTGAGAAAAGAACAATACAAGAACATGCTGTCCTCTCTTCACTACAAAGACCAACTTACTTGCATTCATAACCACACTGTTTTCCCTTCAATTCCTTCTTGTTCCCTGGATCCCACCCACTTCCTCTATCCCTACCTCAAGGACACTGCTTTCTCTACTGTATCAATTTTCTCCACCTACAGAATCATTCCCACGGGCACACAAACACGCTCTAGTATCTCATATCTCACCTACTCTTCTCTTACTAAGTCGTTCCAAGCAGGTTTTCACTCCGACTCCATTAAAATCACTCTTGACAAGGTCACCAGCATTCTCCTTCTTACTAGAACCTCAGGTCTCATTCTCTACTCCCCATTTTGAAACATTTTCTTTTGTTTTTATTTTGTATCAGTGGCTGGTCCTTCTCTACCCTTTGCCTCCCCCTCTTTTAAATGTCTGACTGGTGGCATCACCCATGAATCAATCTTCAGGCCTCCTCTCCTTATCTGCATGGGTTCCTTAGATGAACACATTCAGACCCATGGACTCAAATTCTAACCATAAAGTGAAGACACCCAGGTGTAATGTACACCAGGCTATAATCTCTCCCTGAGCTCCATGTGTACATATTCAACTGTCCTCTTAACATCTAAAACAACAATTTAAACTTAAAATATCCAAAAAAGAAATTCCCAATGTCTACCTGCCAACCTGCTCTTCCTATCTTCCCCAGCTCAGTAAACTGTGCTTCCGTTCGCCCAGCTATTCAAGCTAACACCCTTATCTCCTCCTTTGATACCTCGTTCTCACTTACTTCATTCATAATTCTACCAGCATGTTCTTTTGGCACTATCTTCTGAGTCTTATGGCTTCTTACTACCTCCTATCTTTGCCATTCTGATCCAAATAATCATTGCTTCTAGTCTGAACTGAAACTGCTTCCATACTGGTTCTTCCTGCTTTTGCACTTGACCAGAGGGATCATTTTAAAACATAAAGCAGACAACAGCATACACTTTCTCTTGATGATTACATTATCAAGCCCTTGCCTAACTCTGATCTCATCTCCTGTTAATTTCCCTTCCCCATCCCCCTGTTCTAGCCATAATGGCTTTCAAACACACAAAGCTAACTTCCGCATTAGATCTTTTCTATCTGCTCAGAACACTCTTCCTCTAGAGTAAAATGGCTTGAGCTCTTACTTCACATCTCTTCTTCAATATCACCTCCTAAAAAAAGCCTTCTTTCATTTGTCTACTTTTCTGTATGCATTTATAATTCAATAAAACTTAACTAAAAGGAAGAAAGAAACAAAGAAAAGGAAAGAAAAAAAACAATGACCTTGTTTAAGATGTCTAACTTTGAGTCAATAATTGTTACTCGGCTAAATATTTCCTGACTAAACTGGTATTATCTTTTTCACTTGGAACAACTGCATTTCATAGTTTTTTTAGTATTAACAGTTGTAAATATCATTAAATCACCCATGTGTGAATAAGGAAATAAGTTAGGACTAGGGGGAAAAAAGTATGTTTTTCTCTATTCTGGTAGAAAGTAAGTCAGAAGATATAACGTTATAAACAGTATGGGTACTGAAATGGCCCTACTGTTACAAAAGAACTTCTGGACTAAAATGAGTCTCCTCGGCCAAACCTGAATATACAGAGAGCAAAATACCAAATGATAACATATGTCTCTATATCAAGAATTTTAATGTGTGTATATGTCCATGAATGACTGAAAAATTGTGCTGAACACTGGAATTTGACACTACATTGTAAAATGATTATAAATCAATAAAAAATGTTAAAAAAAGAAGAATTTTAAGGGTTCTCTTTTTCTTAACAAGAGGTTCAAAGAGAGATGAAGAAGGCACAGAGGGAGAAGCTGAACCAAGGGCTCATTCTCCCTATAGTCTTATCGCATTCATGTTTCTCCTGATGTGAAGGTAGATATATACACAGGTGGGGAAAGGCAAACCAGAATGATATTCTGTGACCTAAGGATCTATCTTCTAGAGTAATTTATATGAAATTTTACTTGCTGATAAAACATATAGTATTATTATAATGTCAAGCACATTCATCTCTGTAGTCTTTTTGTTCCCATTTAAAATTTTATCAGAAAAGTTAGGGGAAAAAAATGCTTCCCTGACCATAACTAAAATAGTCTTCTCATTCCATCCCATTCTCTATTCCTTTCCTACACTTACTTTCCTTCATAGTACTCTCTTATTATATGACATTATATTTTCTGTTTATTTACAGTTACCCTGTTTCTCTTACTACAAGGTAAATTTTCATGGGGATAGGGCTCTACTGGTTTTGTTTACCACTGTATTGACGGGTGTCCAGCAAAGTGCCCACCGCAGAGCCCGGGTGATTGATGGATGGATGGATAGAACTAGCTATCTATCTATCTACCTATCAATCAATCAATCATCTGTCTATCTATCCAAAGCAGCAGCAACTGAATCAAAATTATCTATCTATAAATGCAAAAGAAATACAAATATAGATAGAATAATATTGGGAACAAAGAGAGCACCTCTCCACACCCCATGCCCCCTTCAAAAGGGAGGAAAATTAGTGAGAACAAAATAAAAGGAGAGTGGTAAGTGGGATACAGTAGTTCTGTTTGTATCCCTAGCGAAGTCTCAGACGTTTTCTCTTTAAGCCATCAACTCTCAAAATCGGCTTTATGAACAACACAAGAGGCTGTGCTTCTTCCCTAAGTAGTTGGGCAGTTTCCTCTGGGGATGGCTTCCCTCTGACTTACTAGCCCTCACTCACCAGGATACCGTCCTCTTCCTTTCCTCATTACTTTCCAGGGCTCTTTTCCTTGCTCCAATAAGGAAATCACATCTGGTTTAGAAATGAAGCATCCTGATCAGAAGAAGAGATGCAAGGTAACAGGGAAATTAAAAAAAAAAATTCAAAATTACTTTGATTTAGTCTTGGTTAAATTTTTAATAAACTATAGGTCAGATGATAACTGATAAAGCCTTTAGATCAAAGAAAAACAAGGTGGTTAAAAAAACATCATGTTAAGATTACATAATATATGGAGATTAGAGAAGGAGGGAAGAGGTCTTAATTTATATTCATGCAAGTTCCCCTTCTTGAGAGGCAACAGTAGTTGAGAGACTGTTTGGGTTCAAATCTTGCCTCTGCCATATCCCAGTATCATAACCCTGGACAGGTTACCTCTATGCTTTATTTTCCGCACCTATAAAATAGAAATAATTTACAGTACCTACCTTACGTGATTGTTGTGAAGATAATATTAATACCAATCCATATCTAAGCACTGCCTAGAATATATACTTAGTGCTACATAAATTTTATTTGCTATTATTCATCATCATTATTATTATTTTGCTGACAGGAAAACAAGAAGTTTCCTGAGGCATTTACTTTTTTTTCTTAGGATATTCATACAATGTTAAATGCAAAGCTCTTGGACATTTAACTTTCAATTCTAAAAGTAAGTAAAAGGGGATATGCTTGTTTACTAACAAAAGGAATGAGTTCTCTTGAATTATAAATAAATCCTGTTGGTAAAACTTGCCACTAAAAAAAATGTGTTCTTTTGATCGAGAAAAACCAAGATACAAGGTCTAGCTATTTTCCTTATAGATATACCAACAAGCAACAAAACACCTATAGCCATTCTGAGTTCAAATACAAAGTGAAGCCCGATTTCTTTGACACTAGTAAGGCTGTAAATCACCCAGATTTCAAATCCAGCCCTTTCATCATTAAGGAAGGCCTAAAGGCCACATGAAGACGGGGAAGATGAATATGCTTAATGGTGGTGCTCACTTCCAAACAAATAAAGCCCAAGCCATTCCCTTGAGAACAGGGAAAAACTTGAAAGATATTCATGAAATTTCTAGAGAAGAAAGCTGATACTACAGAGAACAGAGTCTAAATTTCTAGAGGCAGATGACCTTACCCAACGAGACCAAGTTGCTGTAGTTCTCCAACATTACATCTCTGTACAGATCTCTCTGTTTCAAGTCCAGGTATTCCCACTCCTCCTGAGAGAAGACTATGGACACGTCACTGAACATCACTGATCCCTGAAATGACAAACCATATAATACAACTGAAATTTAAAAAAATTTGTTTTAAGATGCAAAGAGGGAAAAATGGATGAGACACTGCAGGAAATGGATCACAGAGCAAGCAAACAGGCTGGAAGCCTATAACATATCCAGTTAGGAAATGAGTGCGCCTGAGGCAGGAAGCCTGTGTTCCTGAAGGGTCCTGCTGCTACAGATGAAGCCCCTTGTATACTCTGGTGTATCTTAACTGCCCAAACATGTCTGGGAAGGAAAAAAAATAATCAGTTTTCTAATTAAATGAAATACTGTATACAAACTTGCTATATGTCTCCCTCATAAATTCTCAAGAAATGTGAGTTTTTCCACCCTTTCTCCTTAAAGAACACATTTTTTAAAAAAGTTTTCTTACAATATCTCTGTTAGAAAAGAATCTGAATACAAGTAAAGAATTTCTTCCAAGTTCATAATTGAATCAGAAAATATCATAAGCATTTCCCCATTTATGACAAATTCTTTAATGAACGTTAAAAAAGCAGTCTATGCAATGGATATATCAGACTTAATCATTCTATACCAGACTATTTTTGTCTATACAAAATATTTAAGGTCCTCCTCAATTCTGAGGGATTACAACCACTCATGTATCTGCATGATCCTCCCTATTGTTTTCCATCCCTCACTATATGCATTCCTTGTTCCTGAGGTAGAGGATACTGATGTAGCTTCTGGATACTAGTGATCCAGAATCACAAAGATGTCATTCTAGACCAGCACTGTTGTTCAAATACATGGAACCCTGTTTCTGGTGTACAACTCTTAGAGCTTCCCAGAGCAGAGACAATCTCTCTGCATGCAGACCCAATCACAAGCCTAATTCTAAAACCATACACTGAGGTTGAGGCCAACCAACAACAAATCTTATCTTACATACTTGGAAAACTCAGGTTTGGAAAAATTCAGTTTTCCCATGAGTAGTCAAACATCTCTCTTAAGTGATTTCACTTCTGGTCTTTTGGTAAAAGACTGAGCACATACAAGAGATGTCAAATGTTTTATTCAGTGAATACATGCACAATGACTGAAAAAAGAGGATTCACAGGACAGGCATTATGCTATTTGGCCTCATCCCTCACTGGATTTGGAGGAACTGGGAGAAAGTCCTTAGATTGGGCTCTGACATTCAAGAAGTTTCAGGATAAAGATAAGTTCATCGGACCTTAACATGACAGTATTTTTAGAAGGTGAAAGAAACAGTAACTTACATGGGCCATGGTTTAGAAATTCAAGAACTGGTCAGTTCTCCTTGGGGTTTACTTGCCTGGAGAAGCAGAGTTCACAGAAGCCAGAGCTAGGGGAAGAAAAAAGAGGCCGTGAGATCAGATAGGCCTCAGAATTCCCCCAAATGACTGGATTTAATATATCCTTTCCCCTCCCTGGACCTCCCCACCACACACACACACACACACACACACACACACACACACACAGAGAGAGAAGAATATTATTCAGGCATAAAAAAAGAATAAAATCTTGCCATTTGCTGTAACATAGACGGAACTTCAGAGCATTGTGCTAAGTGAAATAAGTCAGACAGAGAAAGACAAATACTGGATAATTTTGCTTATATGTGGAATCTAAAAAATACAAACAAACTGTAATCAAGCTCATAGATACAAAAAACATACTGGCAGCTGCCAGAGGTGGGGGGGATAGGAGGGGTAGAGAGCATGACATACTTGAAGGGGGTCAAAGGTACAAACTCCTAGTTATAAAATACACATTGTAATGTACAGCATGGCAACTATAGTTAATACTACTGTAGTGTATATTTGAAAGTTGTTAAGTAAGTAGTTCTCATCACAAGAAAAAAATTTTAACTATGTATGGTGACCAGATGTTAACTAGAATTATTGTGGGGATCATTTTGCAATACATATAAATATCAAATCATTATGTTGTACACCTGAAACTAATATAATGTTATATGTCAATTATACATCAATAAAAAAAGAAAAACAAAACAAAAAATAAAAAAGGACTTTAATGTAATGGATATTTTACACACTTTAACTGTATCCTCAGGATTGCTATGTAGTTAATTATCCTATCTATGCAATGGATGAGAACATTCATACTAAAAGAAGTGAAATCACTTGCAGAAATTCAGTTAATAAGCAGCAAAGCTGCATTTGGAATCCTTATTTTTCTAACCACAAAGTCAGCTTTCATTCGACTCTAGCTCTTCCTATGAAACCCAGAATCTCTTGTTTCAAAAAGAAAAACATGAGCACATGTAACTCACTATAAATAGAAATAACACATCAAACTACTAAAAGATATAAATCTCACTTTGAGTATTATTGATGTGCATGTTAGCAAGTTTGTAAGGAAATGAACATTCTCACCTGCAGTCTGTGTAAATTTAAAAGTATGTGCAAGCAGCATTTAAACCATGCAAACCCCTTGACTCAGAAATTCTACTTTTGAGATGAAAGAAAAAAACTGTATATATTGATAAAGATATAAGAATGTGCTGATGGATATTATTCATAGTGGGAAAAAGCTCTTCAGAACTAAAATGTCCTTCAGTAGGAAACAGGTTAAACAAATTACAAAGAATCCATACAGTGAAAAAACTTGCTATTCAAAAATTATAATGTAGACCTTTAACTGGAAAGATGGAAATACATCTACTACATGTTGTTGAGTGAAGAATACAGGTTGTGACTAGTGTAATCCTGATAAGGCAGGTAAAAACACCTATATGTATCTGTATATTCATGTATGTGCACAGTAATCACTAAATGCTAAGCTTTATTATTAAAAAATTTTAATTGAGGTATAGTTAATGTACAATATTATATTCATTTAAGCTTTAGAAAATGCATAAGAACATATATTCAAGATATGCAGTCTTTAGAAAAATATAACAAAATGGATTCTATGATTATATTTGTAAAGCACATATATGTATCAGCATAAAGATACATTAACAGGCATCAACAGGCAGAAAAAAATCTGCAAAGATTGCTGATTTCCACACTATGATCTTAATTTTCTTTTTGTTTAAATTTATTGCATAATTTTATATGGTCATATATACTGTTGAAATATATAACTTTGTAAAAAGGAAGCTTTTCTTCAAATAGGTGAAAGAGATTCATTTTTTAAAAAGCAGTCATCCCTTAGAGGAAAAAAGCTGCTGTCTTTATTTATTTCAGCTCCCAATATTTGAACCAACTCTATGATCTCTAAGTTTGTTTATATATTTTTGCCTGGCAAAGAAAGGTAAAACATTTCCAACTAATGCCCTGTTTCACTGCTGCTGCCTCTCATTACTTTGTGTGTGTGTGTGTGTGTGTGGCGGGGGAGTGGGGTGATTTGGTTTACTTATTTATTTTTAGAGGAGCTATTGGGGATTGAAGCCAGGATCTCATGTATGCTAAACAGTGCTCTATCACTTGAGCTATATCCTCCCCCTTATTATAACTTTGACTTACGAATTTATCTTGCTTTTGATCTAGTCATTTTAGCCACGATATCCTTCAAATAGCTACTGGGTTTTCTTTGTCCTGTTGGTCTCGCTTTGCATCAACATCATGAGAAAAAAAACAAAAACAAAACAAAACCACCCTATGAGACATAAGAGTTACTGCATAAAATACATTTACCTCCATAGAAATCCAATGGGTTTGGTACTATTTGGTCACAATCTGACAGTACTTGCTATAATCAGACGATGTCTCCTTCCTAGGAACTCCCAAGCACCATCTGACTTCTTCACTGACTTTATATTATCTTAGTCTTATTCTTGTAGGGGTTTATCTACCTTGATAGATAATAAGCAACTTTAGGATTTTAGTCACAGTATTTTCCCCAAGTAGTAGCACAGGATCTGACATACTATGAGACTTTAAAAACGTTTGATAATTCAACTTAGAAATTTCTAGGAATTTATCCTTAGGAAGTATTTGTAAAAGTATACACAAAGAAGTTCATCAAAGAATAATTTATAACCAAAAATCAGAACACCTAACAGTAGGTAACAAGGTAAATAAATTATGTTCCACTGTAATAAGGGCATACTGTGCAATTGTTAATAATGAAGATACCGGCTCATATTAATTAATGAAGATATACATGATAAACTGCCAAGTACACCAGGCAGGCTAAAAAGATGCACAATGTTGGGAGATGGTTGACTCTTAATACATGAACAACACAGGCTTGGTTGTCAGGATCCAGAATGTGAATCTGACAGTTATCAACTAGGAGGCTTCGGATATGTTACTTAATTTTAGTGCCTCTGCTTCCTCATTGACAAACTGGAGAATAGTAACAGTATCTATCTTACAAGGTTATTGTGAAGGTTAAGTAATATAATTAATACTTACAGTGCACTTACAATGGCTTATAATAAACACTGAATAAAATGAAAAACGTAACATATCCTTTATTTCATTTATTAATGAAAATTATCTTTAATAATTTAATACTAAAATGCCCCAAAAGAGGTTTTTTATTTTGGTAAATTTTTTGAAATTTCCAGAACTGCTCTTTCTTACATTAATAAATTTTAGAACTGGGCTTGAGAATGTAATTTTTCTTAAATAATAATATTAGCAGAAATCAATGTCTCCATAATCCTAAAAAGGGTAAATTCTGGAAAGGTTTTTCAAATTAGAGGGAAACCACTGCACTCACATTTATGCTGTACAGGCATAGCAATATAATAAATCTTATGACTGCGCAGGATTCGTTTTTCAAAGTGTTGGAGATTCTTTATCTCCTTAAATAAACAATTTTTATGATTCTATTTTGTAAAGCAAACATATGTATACAAGTACACAGAAAGAATATTTGGAAAAACAAACATCAATACTGTAATATTCATTAATTCTGGATAACGGAACGAAGGGCAATTTAAATTTTCTTCTTAAAACTTCCTTAGGTTCCTGTATTTTATTCTTTCTACAATAAACTTGCATTAATTTTATCATCAAAACCAAAAATTAAACTACTATTTTCATACAAATAAAATAAAAAAGATTTGGGAGAAGGAGTACCTTCTGGTTGTTAAGAGAAATGTGAGTCATAGGCCTGTGACGTAAGTGGGTTCCACACAAAAAAATCAGCATGGCAGAAATAGTTAACAATCCTCAGTCCTTTCACTGTTCTTCATCAAAACAATGAGCTATCTTCACTATCTTTCTCCGGTAACTGAACACAATGAAGGTAAGCAGCATTCCCAGATTTAGAAAGAGTATGCCAAAGCAGACAGAACAGTATTTGGTACAAAACAGATGCTCTATCTCTGCCTTTCTCCACTGAATAACTCTTTGAAGTTTTATATTAGATATAATCCTTGCACAATGTCTTACAAATCCCTGGTTTATTGAAAGGGATTCAAACATAACAAAAAATTTCTGGAGTCTTCTTGTCCAAAACTATGACTACTGCTTAAAAGTTGATCATTTTACTTTTTTTCCCTTCTCATGAATCACATAATATCAATGGCATAAAATCCCATATCATGGATGAAATATGATTTATTTAATAATTCTCTACTGTTAGAAACTAATTTTATATAGTTTCTTCCCAAAGAACATTCTCAGATATTATAATCTTTGATTCTAGGCCAGCAGATGTGAATCATTTTGGGTCATGCTTGATAACCTCATTAAATTATGGACCTCTTTCCCAGGAAAATGGCATTTTAACAAATATCCATAATTTTACATATAATTTCAAGGGGTTTCTGCTACCCTGAAAGCCTCAAATGGATTTAAATTACCACTAGTTAAGAATTCTTGTTCCAGATCGTTTGAGCACCTCATCTTTTAAAACTAGGATATATCCAACACACTTAGCCTGGTATTTTCATTTTTCCTGATCTAGTGGAGGCCAATGGGGAACTGTCCCAAATCACTACTTAACAAATAGCTCATGTTTATTAAGTACTTAAAAAGTATCAGGCACTGTCCTAAGAGCTTTACACATAGTTATAAAGAGAAAGCTCTCAGAAATAAAAGGAAGTATCTGCCACATAGATATATGCATGCAGGCACTAGGAAGGGGAACTAGATCTCAAGTTAATGGAAAGGTCATACTAAGGAGAAATAAACAAATGTTCCCACGTCCTAAAAAATAAGAATGCATTTCAGAGAACAAGAGGAAATACCCACTTGCCTTGGCCTTGACTTTTAAATGGGCAATAGCAATTCATTTTTCCTCCTTATCGTCACAGCCTTTTTCTTAGCTTAACAGGACTGAGGAAGAAGGGCATCTTAAAACAACAGGCCTTTATAGGAGCCCAGCCTATCCTGGCTGAATCAGGGAACGCCACGACCACACCTGTCCCACCAACCACCGCCCACACATACCCAGAGTCAAGTAAGAGGAAGAGTACGGACCCTTCCCGGTATTAGAGAAAAGCAAGGGTCCCGGATGTCCAGGGGTGGAAACGGACTTCAGAGCAGCTTCCCAGAGGGAATTCGGCGGTTCTGAAACCTGCAGTTGGACGGTGCGGGGCAGTGTACGAACGCGTGCGTGTGTGTCTGCGCGGGTGCCCGAGGATGTAGCCCGGTGGGAATACTCCCAAGGGCCAGCCTGGGAGGCACGTTCATTTCCAACATTCCTATCCCAAGGCGAATTGAGCCTTTTTGCTGGGAGTCTTTTCTCTGGCTCTCAGATAACTGACTAGGGGCCATTTCTCTGAGGCTGGCAGGAGATTCAGCTGTGACGCTACGGTCGGAGTCACACAGCCTACGGCCACCGCAACCTTCGGTCACTCAAGAGGCTCTGCACCCAATTCAGTCACACAAACCCACTAGTTCCGGCCTCACAACCGCACATAGTCCCGATGCCACACCCCGGTCCAGTCACGCCCACACACACTACACTGTCACACCACCGCCGTTCTCGCGCACACTCGGGGCTGAGGTGCGGGGTTTCCAACGCTATGCGGTGCCGCTGCGCTTCTCTTCCCTCTCCTCATCCCCGGGGCGCAACGCCTTTCCTACCGAAGGCCGAAACAAACACTCCGAGCCAGGACTGCTCACCTGGGGCGCCGAACTCGTCTGACGGCGATGACGAGTGGAAGAGAGGGCGCGACAGCTCAGGTGAGTTCACCACCCTCGGGGCCTAACGGGCCGCGCGCGGGGGTTACTGGGAGCGCGGACTGCACCCGCTGAGTGCGCAGGCGCAGTCAGGCCCCAGGGGGCGGGGCATCGGTGAGTGAGCCCGCGTCGAGCGAGCTGTGTTGAATGGGCACGGAGACCCAGTTGGGCCCCAGCGGGGGCGGGGTTTTCGGTTCTTTGTCTTGAAGTAGCTGCAGGGCCTGCAGCGGGGCGGGGGTGAACGACTGGCGCGTTTAAGGGTGTGCGTAACTCTCCGTGAGGCCAACTGGGGAGGCCTGTAACCGAGGACGGCGCTGGTCTGTCTGTCTTTGGAGTGGTTCTGGGTGCGATCTTTTCATTGAATGTGGCTGGTTTGTGTTTGAGATGGTGCGACTGCGGGGATTGCGGTTCATGATGATTTTATGACTGGAATTGTGTCGGGCTGTGTAGGACTGAGAATGTTGTGGGGGCCTGTGAGATAGTGGGGCTGACTGTGAGTGCGGGAAGTTGCGTTTCTGTATCTATAATTGATGCTGAACAATTATGTGGCCCGGTTTTGATCGATTTCTCTTCCTTGGGCCTTCCCTGCAGACCGCGGATGTGAGTCACTCAGTGTGTGTCTGAGAAACGACATGTCTGATTGTGTGGCTAGTGTGTGTGCTCTGGTACGTGTCTGCAGGACTGTGAAGAACTGGCTATCTGGATGACTGAATGTGAACCAAGAGCCTGACAGTCCTCAACTCTGAAAGAAAGAAATGTTACATCTTCAAGGAGCATCAGTTTTACTGAAGGATTTGGTGAAAAAACGGATTTTTTTCTGGAAAAAAATATTTATTTTACACCTAATCACAGGTTTACTATGGAGAAGAATGCAAATAAGCATTACTTTTAAAGTAAGACTTCAAAGGAAATTCCTCCCATGAAGTCATTAGTTGGCTTCTGCCCAGAATTCTCATTAATGAACTTTCCCTGTCTTATAGTGTTAAGGGATTTTGTTAGCAAAATTTAAGAAGCCCTAGTATATGGAAAAACATCTTTACACAAAAGAGAAGCAGTGTGGCTAGAGTAGACAGCCCATGATTAGGAAATCAGATATCTTGGATTCTAGATCAGACACTCTTCCCTTTGTTAAAAGAGGGCAAGAAACTTGTTTTCAGACTCAAAGCATGAGTTTATACTGACATTACTAATTCAGATTTAACATTGCAGGGTTTTATTCTCACCTTTTATATTTCTGCCTCTTTTCTCTAACAAATTCTAGTTCCTAGTAATATGAACATATTTATTTATTTATTTGCATTAGCCTAGAATCACCAGCAAATAGTTTACATTTGCAATACCAATATTATTACTAACAATTAAAAAAAATTTTTGGTGGGGGGGAGGTAAGTAGGTTTACTTATTTATTTGTTTAACGGAGGTACTGGGGATTGAACCCAGAACCTCGGGTATCTTAAGCACACACTCTACTACTGAGCTATACCCTCCCCCAATACAATTTTAGATTCTTTTAAATTCTGCAGTTCTTTTAAAGCAGGGGTTGGCAAACTATAGTCTGCAGGCCAAACCTGGCCTGCCACCGGTTCTACAGCTAGTGAGTATCTATGGTATCTATTTTTAAATGGGTATAAAAAATCAATAATAATAATAATAATCAAGAAGAACAATATTTTGTGAGGTGTGAAAATATCTATTTCAAATTTCAGTGTCCTTGAATAAAGTTTTATTGAAACATAGCTGTACTCCTTTATGTTTTGTTTATGGCTGCATTTAAACTATAAAGGCAGATTGAATAGTTAATGTAGACTGGCCTGTGGAGCCTAAAATACTGTGGGTTCTCATTATTCAGGGTAGTTACTATTCTATAAAGTTGTTGCAAACACTGAATTAGTGAACTGTTGCTCCTAGCAGAAATACAGCGTTAGTTTCCTGCAGGCATCTGGTCACAACATTTTCCTCAACCAATCAATACATAACATTGTTTTATGTGTTTCTATTTAAGGACGCTTTTTATATATTGTTGATTTATTAACATTGAACTCAAGGCCAACAGCACTATAACTCATTCCTGAATGAAGTCTATCTAACATATATTTTCTCTGCGAGGCATATCACAGCCTTCTTGCCCTAGACAGCACTTCAGCATAGACTTGGGGGCTATTTTAAATACCAAAATCACCAATAAAAAGCACAAAAATGAGGGGAAAAAAAGTGATACTAACTACACTGCAAAAAGGGTACAGTGTAACTGAAACAAGGCAGAGGTTCCTTTATTTGACCTCTGCTGAGAACGTGTGCTGAGGAACTCATTTGTCATCGATCTTCACAAGTCCATGAATGATCACAGAAGTGCTGGAAGTACTGACTCTGAGGTTACAAATGATCTTTTTTTAACAAGTAGGTACGTTTGAAAATATGGAATCTGCAAATAGTGAGGATAACTGTATTTACTGTCTGGCCTTAAACAGAGAAAGTTTGTCAGCTCTTGTTTTAGAGTGTATCCCTCTTAATTACACAGAGTGTTTAAAAACTAGTTGAAATAATTCTTTTCCTATGTCATCAATAAATTCTGTAGTAAATTATAGCCCATTAAATAAACAAAAATCCATGAAGAAGAGAAAAAAGGAGTGAAAAAGGAAAACTCCTCTTTATAGAAGAATGCCAGTTAATAAGTTTGTTTTGTTTTTCATAGCTGTGAACGCTGCTTCAAATACTTTTACAGTATATGAAAGCAACAAGAGCAGACCAACCTGTAATGTATAAGGGAATACCAATAAGACTAATTGCAGACTTTTTAAGAGAAAAAAATGGCAGACAGATAAACAAAAACTGAGAGATTTATTTGCTAGCAGATTAGCAGAGACACCTTACAGGAAATACTACAGGAATTTTTTCAGGTTGAAAGCAATTGATCCCATACAATAATTCAAATCCACATGAAAAAGAGTACTAGTAAAGATAATTGCGTAATTATAAAAGTGTACAAATGCATATTTCTTTTCTATTCTTTTTACTGATTTAAAAAGCAACTAAATAAAACTGTGTATATAATAATATTTGGGGCCTATAACATGTAGAAATATATTTGCCAGTAACAGCTCAAAGAAGGAGAATGGGAGCAAAGCTGTACTAGGCTAAGGAAACAACAGCAGAGACATGGTAGTAACTCCAATCCACAGAAACAAATGAGAACCATAAATGGTCAATAAGAAGGTTAATATAGCAAACTCTATAAATATATACTTGTTCTCCTTTCTTGTCTCAGCTTCTATAATAGGCATAAAATCATAGAAAGTAATATAATAATGTAGAATGTTAAAATAATATATTTTAGGGTATGTAGCATATATAGGTGTAATATATATAACAATATAGCAAAAAAAAAAGAGGAAGAGGGAATAGAGCTATATAGAAGTGACATACCTGTATCTCAATGGGCTAAATCTGAAATAGATCTGACAATGTAAGGTCTATACGGCAAGCCCTAGAGCAACCATTAAGAAAATAACTTTTAAAATGGTAAAAAAAAAATCATTAAAAGAATTTAAATGTTATGTTAGAAAATATTCAGTTAGTGCAAAAGAAAGAAGTATAGAATAACAGAGGAACAAAAAGGACATAAGATATAGAATACAAAAAATAACACGGCAACAATAAACTCAACAATATCCATAATGTTAGATATGAATGAATTAAATAATCCATCAAAAAGCAGAGACTGTCATACTTACTTGGCATGATCACGAAGGTGGTTTTCCCAGGGTGAGGCTTATCCATTGCACTCCAGATGTGCTGACCCCTGTTATTTCCCCAAATATGAGAAACTCAACTGCATAATTTGTGGCAGTCAGCAAATCTATAAAGGCAGAAAGTAAACTAGTGGTTGTAGATTTGCTGAAAATACTTACAGAACATATATGTAATCAATGACTTGTATCTTGAATATACAAATAATTCTTATGATGCAATAAGACAAACCAACAAACACTGGTAAAAGACGTAACAGATACTGAGACAGGCTGGGGGACTGGCATCCTCTACTAGAGTGCTTGCACCTGGACAAATGTCTCCTGGAGCAATAGAACACAAAGAAACTATAAGAGACTAAAAATAGTTGCACACTTGTGCAGCTGGGGCAAGTATGAACAATAGGATATAAAAAGGCCACAAACCAACTGCCCTTTCTGAGGTGCTGGGAGCAAAAGCAGGGGACTGTGCATGATCCCTGCACATGGCACCACCAAGCGGGTAGACAGACCACCTAAGCCAGCATCCTACACAACCCACAGACCTGCCCCCATTGTTATCCCATTTAAGGACCCAAGCAACTCCTCTTTGAGAGTGAGCAAGGGCACCTGGAGACCATAAATGAAACAAAAAAACAACCCATGGACTGGGAGAAAATATTTGTAAACAAGGTAACTGACAAGGGCTTAATTTCCAAAATATACCACAACTCATACAACTCAGTAACAACAACAAAACCCCATCAAAAAATGGGCAGAAGACCTAAACAGACATTTCTCCAAAGAAAACATACAAATGACCACTAGGCCCATGAAAAGTTGCTCAATATTGCTAATTATTAGAGAAATGCAAATTAGAACTACAATGAGGTATTATCTCACACCAGTCAGAATGGCCATCATTCAGAAGTCCACAAACAATTGGTGTGGAGAACAGGGAACACTCCTGCACTGTTGGTACGCCATTATAGAAAACAGTCTGGAGGTTCCTTAAAAAACTAAAAATAGAGTTACTGTAAGATCTACCAATCCCACTCTTGGGTATATACCTGGAGAAAACTCTAATTTGAAAAGATACATGCACACCAGTGTTCATAGCAGCACTATTTACAATAGCCAAGACATGGAAGCAACCTAAATGTCCATCAACATATGAATGAATAAAAAATATATTATATATACATATAAAATATATAATGAAATATTACTCAGCCATAAAAAAGAATGAAATAATGCAATTTGCAGCAACATGCATAGACCTGGAGATTATCTTACTAAGTGAAGTCAGACAGAGGAC